CAAATAGTAATTTTTTTTGGATAAAATAATTTAATTAATTAATTTTACATCTCTTTGATTTCTCCGTGAAGACTGCAATATTTCCACATTCTTACTAGATTCAAAACACAAGTTAGCATTACGCACCCCGTTTATAATAAAACACCTTCCATTTATTTCAATGCAAATACTTTTGGTTTTTAAGCATTTCTCACTATTTGTGAGGTTGTGTTGTCAAAAATTGATGACTTCAGCGTGAAAACACTGCATCCAATTGACATTTTCTTTCAAAACAGACTATCTCTAGTGAAGTGACTGTTTTTGAAAGAAATATATACAGGAAATGAAAGTGTTGAAAAATATACTGACCTAAAATCCTGATTAGAAATAAAGGATCTCAAAAAAAATCCCATTGTGGAACAAAATTAATAATGTAAACATTAAAGCCTGATTGATTTTTTGCTAGTAACGATGGCAGCAGACGTTCGAATCCCCTGAAAAATCGATATTAATGCACCAAGGACGTTATATAAAGGTTATAATCTTGAGCGATAAAAAGTCTGAGGGCCATTGATCCAAAGGTTTGTGCCGCCCGAGGTCATTGGAACCAGTGACAGCCTGAGGTACATACATGATATGATTTTTTACATAATTTTAATGATTCAGATGTTCTTATTTACTAATTAACCAGTTAACTTGACTCTGCTTGTCTTTTCATATTTCACTCCATAAGAGAACATGTGTGACCATTCATCTGTTTTCTTATATCCCTTGTATCTGCGATCCAGGTAAGTTACGCAGTGTATATAGAACTCCGTATCGAACGTGTTGACAAGCAGTAACGTATCAGTAAAAAATAAACATGTGATTTTCGAAGAGAGTTTCGAAAAGAAAGCTGCCAATTGCGGCGCCTGTGTGCGGAGGTTACCTCACCGCCCTCAGTTGGTGCAGCGGCGCGGCGCGTATACGCTCTTCCGTAGGTCCGGCTCGTCGAAGATGCAAACCGGAAGAGCGGCGATTTCGGAAGCGCGTACGCTGGCTGGCTGGTCGGCGCGGCGCGGCGCGGGGCGATCGCGGAAGGGAAAGCCAGGCAGGCAGGCGACGAGTCGGTCGCGACTGGTTCTAGTGGCTGGACGCGTCGGTGTTGCCACCTGACCTCGCGATCTCCTCGCGGTGGAAATGCGAGTCCCACGCGATTTCTACGCACGGCCCTCCGATGCATGCAGTTGGGTGTAATGACGCGCATCTTCGTCAGTGCAGTCAGTCAGCAAGCAAGCGTGTGCGTCCTTCGGGTTGGATTCGTGCTCGGCCGAAGGAAAGGTTGGGCCGACTGAGTCTCTTGAACGGCAGCCAAGCCCCATGCATTCGTTTTCAAATCGTTATTTCCAGGCCGTGTGAAATGGAATCAAAAATATTAAAACGTCTCGCCACGAGCGATATTTAACGAGGTACGATTGTTATGACGTATGTTTAATTAACCTATCTTCACACTCTTATTACATTAGTGCAATCAGGTTCGTATTTGGTAGAAATGATCAGCAAGCTATTTCTTCGATATTTTGTGCTAATTCTTGCAAAGTTTTTGAGAAGGAAATCGGGGTATTCACAAGTATTTTCGTTCATGTAACATTAAATTTTCTCAATCTAACGAAACAAGCTTGTAAACGTCCATGTTGAATGACTCAGTTCAACCCAATATTTCCGGTGCATTTGAACGGTTCTGCTGACCTGAAAGTTCGGCCACATTCGCTGTATCGCTTCAGACGTAAGTGCGACCGTGCCTTGCTTCTTGTGAATGTTGGAAATATTCGGCCATTTACTGTCGTACTCTGCAGAACTTAAATTCGATCGAACACGGTTTCTCTCTCACCCTTCCCTTAGTTAGAGGGAATTTGAGCCTTAAAATAACTGAGCTATGCAGGAGGGTGATCGATAATCAGAGTGCTGGCTTTTTTCTACAAAACTGGATTCAATTCCTGGTAGATCTGTGGGATCGTGTGGCAAGCATGCGGTGTCACGGTGGGTTTTCTGCGAGTACTTCAGATACCCCTACCTGCTATTCCACTGTTGCTCCATTGCATTAATCGTCATTCCGTTAAGGCAACCCACTTTGGGTGCGCAGTGCACATTCAGGATTAACAGGTACTGCATATGTATTTGGAACTTTGCGATAGAAGATATTGTAGTTAGTTATGTGAGGGTGTATTAAAATTAACGGATTGCTCGCTAATCTGCCGTCATGTGTTTATTGCGCTACTTAAGACCAACTACAAGTAGTCGTCTTGGACGATTTGTTTCGCTAGTTACAATTGATCTATTGAAAGCCGCCGACGTTTCGTCATTAGGTCGAGTAAGTGTGTGAGTGAAGTTATGTGTGATGCAAATATATTATTGCATCATGTGGTTATAGTTATAAAGCGAGGTTAGCGTGATTATTAATTTCGAATATTGTTAGTTCGAAGGGGTAGGGGTGGGGGGTTTCACCTTACTGACCAAATTTATTGTCCTATGTAGTCCTGAGGTGTGACTGACAGAACATTTCTGCGCAAACTAAAGAAAACGTCTATCATTGGATTAAAATATTCTCATAGCATTCATAAAGAGTTCGTTACATGACAGGAGTAAATATGGTTGAATAGTTTTCTTTTCAAGCCACATTTAATCTTCATTATTAAGCCTTTGCCTAAGCTTTGTGACCACGCCTGAAATGCATGATTGATGTGCCGGGGAGGTGATTATGAGCATAAGGGAATGATAGAGCAATGGCGGAAAGTGAGGCAAGGAAAACCGTAAAACCGGATTCCCGCTAACCCGCATTGGCCACCACACATTTCACATCGACTGAGGAAGATGGTCACTCAGACCCTATATAAAAATTGAATGAAGTGTGGTTATTTATTTTATTTTTAACTATTATTCAACAGGTAAGGTTATTGAGACCTGTGTTATGATTTAATGAGTAAACGATAGCGATGATGAGAATGATGGAGAAAAGGTATAAGAAGCGGGGGAAACGGAGAACAGCGAGAAAAGTAGCTTAGAGATCGCTTTGTCCTCCTCTAAATTCCACATGGATTAGCTGCGGATCAAACTCGAGCCGGAGCAATGGAAGGTGTCAGGCCAAACACCCTTCGCGATGTTGTCATAGACTCGATGTTATTTTTGTGAATAATTTTTTTACCCAAGATGTTGTATTGGACTGAAAGACATTGCATTACTCTTAATACGGCTAATTCGATTATTGATCGCTTGTGACAACAGATTCACGATGGTAACCCTACATTAGTCAGACTCCGAATGTTGAAAGTGTGGTTTATAAAAAAAACGATATCCCAGAGGAACACGTGTGCACGTCCCCGAAAATGACTTTGTACATTTTGCTTTTCTTACAGTACTTGTGTCACTTTCCTTCATTTTCCCTTAAAGTTCATCAATGCTGTATTTTGTGGTGTCTGATTTAGCACTTTCATGCTTCATCCTCGGTCTTAACTTGACAGTTCTTTCTCTGAAACTGCTGTGTAACTCCGCTTGAAAGTTGCCCTAGCAATTACAGCAGTGCAGTCCAGCGGTGAGAGCTGTAACCACCTTCTAATTCAAAGTGTATCCTACAATATCGCAGTAGTTACTTAATAGGTTCACTATGATTACCATAACCGATTACTTTATTTGTTCGTTCAGGATTAAGCTATGATGCCCTACCAGACTATTTGAATAACAAAGTCCTATAATTCCAATAAATTTATGGTTCCATTTTTTCTCGCCATTTAAAAAAACAAATGCTTTTAAAAAGACAAGGCTTCCAATATTTAGACAAAGGGCATAAAATTGTCCGTGAAGGTGAAAATTTTGCTTACATTTTACATTGAACGTGATATTGTGAATTTCTTAGCTAGCTTTATTACAATTTGACACACATTAAAAAGCGGAAACGAGAAAAAAAATCTTTAGAACAGAGAACACAGGCTCAGCTTCTTTAGCATGGAAATTAAATGCATACTCGCTTTCACTTGACCTTCACCGGCCTTGTTAACCAATCCTCAGGAATCCTTGAGCCATCAGTTTTTGTTTTGATTGGAGTTGATGCTTTTTTGTTCGCTTGTAATATATAGTTTTACCCAAAATTGGTCTTCGTCCACATACTTTTGGAGAGTGATTAGATAATTCATATATTTATTTAAGGCCAGCTGCGATCTCTCCAATTTATGTGATACGAAGGCGATAATTCTTGTATTTGACACGTAATTTTAGAATGCCAGTAAAGCGATGCTTCACTATTTAGCCCGTGAGGCTATTGATTTGTAGATATTGTTAGTTAATATTTTACTCTTATTCTTGTCATTTTATGTGCTCTTTGTACCTAAATAAATCTAATTGTAGCTTACGATATGTAAAATGAGTCAAAAAATTTGTGCTGCTAGCCCCAGTGGCTGGGCTGTCTCACTTTTGTAAACAGAGAGGTCTTAGATTCAGATACAGAGGCAGGTGGCTAGTTTCAAATACAGAAAGAATTCGTTCGGCAGAGGCACAGTACTCTAAAACAGAGGGCCAGGGATCCCTTCATCCAGTCCTCCTACCGATCTATTAGATCCTTATATGATCCATCCCCTAATGATCGAGAAACTGTCCGACATGCGTCGGAGACGGGGATGCAGCGACAGTCTAAGAGCCCCCGGATACTGTGTTTTGTAGTAATAAAATAATAAAACTAAAGTAAAATAAAACAGACGCCCTGGATGGATGAGGTGGCTAAGAGCATGTACAGACTCAGCGCTTCGGGCCGAAGGGTCGCAGGTTCGACTCTCGTCTTTGGGTATGGGTTTTGTCACTAGTCTCTGTGTATGTGTTGAGGCGGAGGACCACGCATTCTGTTCGCCCCAGATCAGAGGAGCCCGCAAGTGTGTTTGTGTTTGGTCGAATGTGGGTCCAGTCAGGACGCAAAGGGTTACCGGATGTCGGCTTGATGAAAGCCGTAGGGGTGGGGGGAGAATAGAATAATAAAAAAAACGTAATCGTGCACTCACCTGGCGTCTTGGCGCTTGGTGTCGGCCGTGACGAAGTAGACGAGCTGGACCGACGGCACCTCGACGATGATGTCGTCCTCGCTGACGACGGTGCCGCCGAAGAAGACCGGGAAGGTGTGCGCGTCCCACGTGACCGGGTTGAACATGACCGGGAAGGTGAGGTTGAGCGTGCGGTTCTCCACCTCCTCCATGACGTACTCGAGGTTGAGGATGTCGTTGTGGAAGCACTGGTCGATCCAGCGCGCGCACACGTCGCGGTACGTGAACGTCTCCTCGTCCTCCCACGCCACCGTCGCGTTCTGGATGATCTGGTCCAGCAGGCGCAGCTCCGCCCAGATCTCGCGCCTCAGCATGTCGTGGCCGTGCTTCGGGATGACGATCACGCGCCCGAAGCGACCTGCGATCACAACAACGGCCACCGTCACTTCGGGGAACAGACACTCTTAAGAAAAATGTTATGCTCGTTGAAGCACTTACTACATAGGATTTAATGTTTTATATGTGTGGTTTTATTTTTTAAATTAGTTTATTAATTCTTGACGTACGTTCAGAAAGTTAAGCAATGATTATGAATTCGTTTCCAATCAAATTTTAACTAATTATGGAATATTGTACTATATCATTTGCATACTGTATAATCAATATTAATATACATTTCAATCCATGACTTCACAAACATGTTTGTAATGTTACAAGATAATTGTTATTATTCTCTTTTCTAATACGTTTATTATGACTGAATAATTACCTTCTGGATTATGGTTATCATTGTCCGAACTGCTGAGTGCCAACAGTTATATCAATTGCAAGTTTTGTGCTATTTATGAAGATAGTTGCCAAACAAGTAAATCAAACCAGGCACTTCGGCGGAGAAGTCTATACCAATTTTTCTCCTTTTTACGATTTCGGTATCACGTGAAAAACGAAACCGTATGGTCTTGGTGTTGTAAATTATTGCTTATGATATTTATCACATTAGTGAATACGAATTTACCTTTAATTTGAATCTTATTTAAGACCTTTAAAAGGAACTTGGTTAGGCTAAAATTATTATATTTTATGAATACACATGTATACTAAGTGTTCGAAACATTCAAATAACCTGTCAATGTTTTTGCCGGGATTCGAAACCGCAGCCAAGACCGCGTACTTGGGCGTTCCGGCCCCAAGTACCCGCGCCACCAGATTCGGATGATAGGTATACGGTATACTGACAGCTATGAATGTTTGCACATGGACGTAAAAGGCTCCAAAAGTCACACTTTCAACACACACTCGCGCGCGCGCGCGCGCGCACACACACACACACACACACACACACACACACACACACACACACACACAAAGTTCCATGCGAGTTGCGTCCACTGTCGATGGACGACAGTGCATACCATTCACTTCCGCCAGGCAATCCTTCTTTTCACAAAGGGGAATCCTTCCGCACAGGAAACGCTTTCTTTGTTTGTTTGCCCCCTATGATTTTCCTTTCTCTATTTACTTCTGCTTGATCTTCTACCACGACTTTGTAAGTTTCACAAAAGGAAAAAAATATTGATTTTTTATTGTGAAATAGTGACATAGGTTGTATTCCTGATTAGTTTTATTCCATGATTATTAACTCGAATATACTAGGTGAATATTAATTCACAAAATCATATTCGTATTGGCTGCGTAGTATGTATACCTCATATAATAAATAATCTGCCGTCTCCTATTTCGTGGATTTTCGTCATTGGGCTCTTTTCTGTGCTTAACCCCATTTACCACCTTCAAATATGTCATCTGCATTTCACACCAAATCATTTATTGAAAATATTTTTTTCTTTCATACAACGTTAACTTCTTTTAATCTTTCCCTGAAGTTCTTGTTCTATTCCGGCGTCATTTCCCTTTCGGCCGCAAGAACCGTTCGGCACGCCGCTCCCGCTACCGGAAAAGCTACGCGTTCGATACCGTATCGAAGGAGGGAAGGGCGGATGCCTAGCAGCAAGGCGGAGCCATTTGTATCGCGGCCGAGAAACGGAAGGAAAAGGAACAAATGGAATTGGGAGGCCGACTGAATCTAGTGACGACGACGACGACAACTGTTCTGATTCAAGTGGAGAGTGTCAATTTTAAGGAGAGTAGGTTACTCTTTCGAAACCCTTATTTTAATGAGAATTCGACTAAGAGGTGGACTTCATTTAGTACAGAAACATGAGAAGTGTAACCATCCTGGCCAATCATGAAATAAGAAATGTTTAATTAGATGATTACAGATACGGGATAAGTTGCGGATTGCTGTGGCAATTTCGCCTCAATCACAACGTGAAAACGACCATGTCTTAGGAGAAATTCAGACCCACGACCGTGACGAAAAACAACGGATGCTATGTGTGTCGAAGTAGGGTGACCACAATGAGGAAAACTGTGTTTGCGAACGTATCAACCACGCCGGACAATTCAATGACGTCAAAAGCGATGGAGTTGACAAATACGTTCAGAAATACGTGCGAAATCTCAGCAAAATGAATTTCCTGAATACTAAGGTTTGCTAGTGGAGTCTAATTTTTTGCAATGTGACTTTATCGCTTATGTTCCAACTATTCATACCAATCATAATGACTAGACTTTGAGGATTATGTGATGCGACAAGTACAATACCTATTTTTGAGCATAAGCCAGGGAAGAAGCTTACATCTTTACATGACCTTTCATTCTTTGGGCACACGATCACATCAGTGGTTTGCCATTGCCTTCCACTGATGGTTGGTGAGATATTCGTGAGAGAAGAGCGATATGAACGACGGATGAATTGTGTGAATGTGATTCTTAGTGATTCAGACCGTGTCAACTGCCAAGATCATTGGTCTCGTAAGTGTAGTGCATGTTTTATCGCGGGAGGTGGCGGGTAACGACGCTGCCCTACCCATCGAGCCTTCCCCCCCGAGCTGGTGTCCGGGCATCGCGCTCCGGAAAATTCCAAAGCATCACCAAGGCCACTTTCTCTCCTCAGACATCTTCCTTCCCTTCACCCCTTTCCCTTTTAGAGCGCCGTGCCGCGCTTGCACGGTTATCGTAATGGCAACCTTTCTGTTGCGATTCGAGAAATGGTCGCTATTTGTACCCGATAAAAAAATGGAGGTTGTACTGAAAATCTTACAAACGAATCTAGCAAAAAAACGGAGACCGAATTTATTGAGTCCATGCAGCCGTGGGCTTCCGAGACCTGCCGTGTGAAGGTTTCCGGATGTCCGGGAGACGCGGGTCCGCGGCGAGGGCAATGGTTCCTCGCCTCCTTGGCGCCGGCGTCCTCGACACAGTGTCTCCGGGGGCCTTCCTTGATTTTTGATTAGTGTTTCCGGTCGCGTCAGGCCCCTAAGATCATTAGTCGCGTAAGTATAGTGCAAACATTTTTCCTCGGCAGGTGGCGGTGATCTTCCCCCACTAATGGGCAAGATCCGGCGCCGACGTACAGTCAGGTAACGAGATTTCCCCAGTCAATTTTCATCCAACAGCGGGCACTCGATCGTTGTCCGAAGCTCTTGATCGCTGTCCCGGCATGTGTGGTAGTGTAGTGTATGTGACAATGTGTTTAAATAAGGGGTGACGATAGGACAAGGAAGAGGAAGAAAATATCACACACGATCCGTGGCCCTTTTATTAGCATACTGCTCCGGCATTCGTCAGGTATTGATCGGAGACTAAACTCGAACTAGTATCCAAAATCCTGTTACCATCGGTACTCCAATCTAGGATCTCCCTGTTAGAGACTCAGTTAATGCCATGAACCACCTCTCCCGGTGTCCTTAACTATGTTATGTGGCATATCAATCTCGAGTACTTAAGCCGGTAATACGAAAACGACACAGTTTCGCGTCTTTGATTGACGACGTAGAGAGCATTTGGAGGGATGAAGACGGGGCTCCTACAACCAATCTAGTCCCACCAGAAGTGATTGTCTGTCGCGCGTGTGCTCGCGGTGGGCCGTGTCGGGCACAGCTTCGGGCACGCTTCCTGCACTGCCCATCGCTCCGTGGCCCCGCCCCCTCGAGCTGGTCAGAACTCCCCGGGTGACGGCGCGGCCGTCGCAGGCCAGTGGCGCCGGCGCGAAGGAGGTCACCCGCGTCTCACCAGCGCCGCGGTGACCCACTTGAAGGCCCCCGGCTCGCCGCCGCGACGCGCGCAGTCGAGGAAAGTGTCAGTCACGGTGACCGGTCGCCGCCGCCGCCCCCACCGCCCATCCGTCCGCCGCGGTGCGCGACCGGGCGCCCTCTCCGCCAGGCACCTGTTACCCCGCGCCACGACCACCCGGGGTGGTTACACTACGTGGTTACACTAGCTTGTTAGCTAGGTCGAATTCAGTCGCTGTCTGGAGGAGAATTCTAGCGGCCGGCTGCTCTGATCCGTAGTTTTCCGTGGTTTCTCTGATATACACCAGGCGAATGCCGAGCAGTACCCTAACAAACGGGCCACGGACTGCTCGCGATCTTACCTTCCTCTTCCTTGCCGTTTCCTCAGCCCTTTCTTACACTACACTATCAGACATGCTGAGAGAACAATCGAGAGCTTAGAGCTTGTCCCGGCTGAGTCCAGGCCCCGCTGGTTGGGGAGAAAACCCTCATGCTGAGGGTTTCGAGCGCTAGGCCTGGGGTTCAAATCGCAGCCAATTCACGTGAATTTGTGGTGGTTCAAGCGGGCTTGCGGCCAGTTTTCTCAGGTATCTTCTATTCCCCCTACCACTCATTCATTCAATATCTTCATAATCAAATCTTCATCAAACTAATACTTTCATCTTGAGATATGGTCGTAAGGTTTGGGCATTGGCCCGTTAATAAAGACATGTTTTTCGAGGCCACCCGAAGGAATGGGATGTCAGTTTTCGCTATTAGAGATACCCCGCCACCAACTAACTGCACGTTACATTCACAATCGCAACCAGAGGTGTTGGCAAGACGTGGACAATGTATTGGAAGCACTGTTTTTTCTCTTTGGCCATTGCTTTATTTGAATATTTATTTAAGAAGTTGTGGAAAGATTTTTTCCTGAATTCTGGCAATAAACTGTCTTCAAAATTCTCCATTTGTCGCAATGACAAAAATAAAGAGTACCACCGGCACAAAACAAGTTGTCCAACCTTCGTGAGATGATTACAAATCATTTCTACTATTCGAAATAAATCCTAGAACTAGTTGATAGATAAATTGACCACCCCCTTTGAATTTTTGGGAATTGTTTTAGTTGTTGTTTAATCTAGGCTGCCTCTCAGCGTTGCCAGGAAATTTTGCCTCTCCTATTAACCGCACCTGGCGTCACTACGGGTTCAGTAATATCGTTTAGTTTATCAATTATTTATTTGAGACGTTCCCTGGCTAAGCGAATGTGGGGTCTGATTAAGATCTGAGATCACCGAGACTC